ATAATTTAACCAAGCTTAGGGATAGGAAAAATAAGAATCTAGTTCAATTGAAGTGCATTAAGGTGTTGATAAAAAAATATTTTTCTTAGAAAAAGATATTCAACATAGATGGATGAGATATTTCGATAAGTTTTTCAATGACTTTTCTGAGAATACCATTGACTTTTGTGACCTTAGCTCTCTAAATGAAAATATAAATTTTTATTTTATCATTGTACAAGTAAAACCAAAGTTGGTGAGGCTTCAAAGAAAAGGAAATGTGAAAAAACAGTAAGACCTAATAACATTTCAGTAGAGATATGAAAAATGTTTAGGAGATCTAGGAATTCTTGTCTTACTAAATTATTTGAATATTTTTTTGAAGACTAAAAAGATGTTAGATGAGTGTGTTGGTTTCCATTTTTAAGAATAAAGGTGATGCACAAGGGTTTACGTTATAGAGGAAATAAGTTAATGTGCCATATATTAAAATTATGGAAGAGATAATTGAATATAGGTTGCGACACGATACTAATATTTCTCAAAATGAGTTTGGATTCATGCCGGGTAGGTCTACTATGGATACTAAACATTTGATGAATGGAGAAGTATGAAAGTAAGAAGGATCATCATATGCTATTTGTTGATTAGAGAAATCATATGATAAATTTCTAAGAGAAGTGCTCTGGAGAGTTTTAGAATAGAAAGGAGTTAATAATGCTTTGATTCAAGTCGTTAAGAATATGTATACATGAGTTATTACTTGTGTTCAAATACAAAATAGTTTGACTAATTATTTTTCTATTTAAGCTCGATTACATTAAGGATCAACTTTAAGCTCTTTTTTTGCTTTAGTCATGGATGTTTTTACTAGACATTTGCTAGAGGATGTACCTTGGTGTATGCATTTGTTGATGATATTCTTTTTCCATATAAGAGTAGAGAAGGAGTTGAAATAAAACTTGAATTATGGAGGTCAATCTTAGAGTCTAAAGGTTTTCATTTGAGTAAATCTAAAACCGAATACATGGAGTTTAATTTTTAGTAGTAATAGATCTAATGGTGGTATTGTGACATTGGGTGATCAAGTCATTATGAAGAGTGCACATTTTAGATATCTCGGGTCTATTGGTCAAAACGATGGTGAAATAGATGAGGATATATTGGTAGAGTTGAAGTTTGATGATTGAACTGGATGAATGCATCAGACCTGTTGTGTGATTGAAAAGTACCCCTCGAATTTAAGAGAAAATTTTATAAGATGGTGGTGAGACCTACAATGTTTTATGGTGCATAATGTTGGAAGATAAGCATAAAATTAAGTTGTGTTGCAGAGATGAGGATGCTCAGGTGGATGAGTAGTTTTATACTTTTAGACATAATGTGAAATGAGTATATACGTGAAAAGATTGGAGTAGCTCCAATGGAAAATATGATTAGAGAGTGTTGCCTTAGATGGTTTGGTCACATAAACTGTTGGTCATTCGATGACCCAGTTAGGAGAGTAGATGTATTAGATCTAGCCTATGTTAAGAAAGATAGAGGTAGACCTAAAAATAATTGGTTAGAAAGTATTAGGAATGACTTTTTTTTATTATATTTAAATTAGAATTTAACTCTTAGTAGGATACAATGGAGAAAAAAGATTTATGTACTTGACCTCACGTAGTGGACAAAGACTTGATGTTGTTATTGTATGTATATATATATATATATA